CACTTCATCAGCCTCCTGAAGAGAAGATTGTCCATTAAATGGAAAGCAATTTACATTTTCAGCACAAAGGATGCTTGCTTCCTGGTGGGCTTCCAGCCTCTCCTGAGTTTTGCCATTCCTCTCAAGAGCCACGGACATTTTAAAGGTTCTATGTGAAGTGGTCTGGGCCAGGAGGGGGTGGTGCAGAAAACACTTGTCTGGGCTAGCATTGTTCCCTTTGTCCACTTGAGCAGGGCTCAATTTTATTTCTAGAATGTCCTAGCTGACAGGCTCCATACACGGTTTTGCCTCTTTTCCTTTAGGGAGTTAAGCTACAGAAGCACTCCCTTTCCCAGAATGCACTGTGGCACCGTCCTACAGAAGGGCTGCTTCAGAGATGAATGTGCCCTGTTTCCTTCTTTATGTTATGGCCTGCCTCAGGGAAGAGGCTTGCGACTGCTAATCTGTAACAGGTGGTGGGAACACAAGGGAAAACAAGGCCCCCTCTGTATGGCAGTGAATAAAAGAAATTCAGGTGCTGAAGGAACAAAACTGGTGTGAAGACGGGGTGAAGCAGTGGCCTCACAGGGAGGGAATAGTGGACCGCTTTTGTGCTTCCTCCCCCAGCCACCCCTCATCACAATTGTTTTCCACCTTCTTCCAGTACTACTTGAAATTCCCTTAGCAGGAGGCAAAGCGACTCTTGCCACACCAAATATGAATACAGATTAAGCTAAAATGAAATATAAAATAGGCTCCCAGAAAGATGAAGAAATACTTTTCCCCATTCCTACCATGATATGCAACTAAATGACTCTAAAAGATAGGGAGAAGATGAGGTAGGGGCCAAGACCCAAGAAACAGCAGAGTGGTGAGTTCCTGGGTTTTCCTTTTCCCTCATACACCCCAGACTTATTGGTGGAAAAGCTGGCAATTCAGAAACACCACAGGTACAGACATACAAAGTCCCAACAAAAGTCTGCTCTCTCTAACCAAAGGACCAGAAAAGAGACAGCCTAACAAGGCAGAAAAGTATAGAAAAGAAGTGCTTTACTGCAGGTAAACAGCTTTAAAAAAAAACCAAACCTATGGTCCCAACCCACCTTCATCCATAAAAGCTGAGTCAGGAGCTGAGACTTCCATCCTGTGAGACCCCAGCCAGGCTGGCATCCAGGAAGTCTGAATGGGGAGGCAGAACAATCATCCCAGCCTCCTCCTCCCATCTCAGCAGACCTGAACTTCTGCTTCCACCTATCAGTACCAAGGTGAGCTTTCCCTTCCTTCCCCACCCCCTTCCCCTGGGATGGAAAAAGAGGAAGCCTCAAGGAGGGTCAGGACTTTCACTACCATGCTAGTGGTGGTGAAGCCACCTCCTCCAAGTACCACAAGCAGCCTCCTAGGGAGCAGTAAGGAGGCACTCTTGCCTCCCCACTCTGAGGGGCCCAGTAGGGAACTGACACTCCCAGCCCCACGCAGGAGTACCAAGGAGGCGATACCCGCCAATGGAGGCCAAGTAGAAAGCCTGGGCTTCTACCTTAGCTGGTAGGAACCAGCTGGCACCCCCTCCTCCTTCTGCTGAAGCAGGGTACAGACCCAAAACAGATTTAAATAAGATCCAGACTCTCATAAGAGAAAACCAAAAATGACCACAATTCAAAAGTTCCTCATCATACCAAGAACCAGGAAGATCTCAATTTGAGTGAGTTAAAGACAATCAATAGATGCCCACATTAAGATGACACCAATGTTAGGGTTCTTGGATGAAGACTTTTTTTTTTAAGATTTTATTTTTCAGAGAGAGAGTTAGCAGAGGGAGGGGCAGGCAGAGGGACAAGCAGACTCCCAGCAGAGCAGGGAGCCTGATGCAGGACTCAATCCCAGGATCTGAGCCAAAGGCAGATGCTTAACTGACCGAGCCACCCAGGCATCCCTTGGACTAGGATTTTAAAGCAGCCATCCTAAGAATGATTTGACAAGCAATTACAAACATTTTTAAAACAAATGCAAAAAGAAAATTTCAGTAAAGAAATAGAAGTTATAAAGGAGAACCAAATGGAAACTTTAGGACCGAAAAATAAAAGAAAAGAAATTAAAAACTCAATGGATGGGCTCAGTAGCAGAAGGGAGGACATCAATGAAAGAATCAGTGAATTTAAAGATAAAACAATAGAAATTACCCACTCTAAACAATAGAAAAAAAATACAATGAAGAAAATGAACAGCATCTCAGAAACCCATGAGACTGTAAGAAAGAGCTAACATCCATGTGACTGGAGTCCCAGAAAAAGAGAAGCAGCCTGGGCAGATAAAGTATTCAAAGAATAGTGAATTAATTCAAGAGGCTGAGCAAAACTCAAATAAGATAAACCTAAAGAAATCCACTCCAAGAAACATCATAACTAAACTTCTGAAAACTAAAAAGTGGAAAAGTCCTGAAAGCCGTGAGAGAGAAAAATACCTTTTCAGGGAAAAAGCAATTCAAATTACACCAGACTGATCAGAAACCAGAGAGGCAAGAAGAAAACCATACATTTCTCAAGTGCAAAAAGCAAAGGACTGCCAGCGCTAAATCCTATACCCAGCAAAATTATCCTTCAGGAATGAAAGGGAAATCAAGACATTCTCTGATGAAGGAAAACAAAGAGACCTACCCTAAAAGAATAGCTAAAAGTAGTTCTCTAAACAGAAAGGATATGACAAAAGAAATGACCTTGGAGCATCAGGGGGAAAGAAAGAATAAAGGAAAGAGTACAAATATGGGTAAGTACAATACATTGTCCCTCTCAAAAAAAGCAGTATATAGGAAAAAGAAGAACAGTTTAAACATCCAGTAAAAATAGTGGCTAACCCTGGAGAGCTTACTCCAGGCAAAGCATTTTGCCTGCCTCATCCCATTAAACCCTTACAAAAGCCCCAGTGGGATTACCAGGTTTATCAATGTGAGAACCCTGCGGTAGGGTTTGAATACACAGATGTCTGATTGATTCCCGACCTTGGGCTCTTAACCTCTAGGTCAGTTGGTCTTCAGCATCTCACTCTGAACTGTTTTCCTTGGAGGAGCAGTTAGCAAGCAGACCAGAACAGACTCTCTGGAAGGTGAAGAGCCTGAATGAAGGGGAAGTAAGGGACCCAGAAACATGTTGAACACAGACCTAGAAAAGAACAAGAGGAAATGAAGAAAAAGATTCTACGAGAAAGAGCAAAGCAAGAATTAGAACAGAAACAATTTAGAAGTTGGGAGATATCTTTTGCACTGGTAAAGACACAAAAACCCAGAGAGGATGGGCAACTTGTCCAAAATCTCCAGACAGTGGGTACCAGAGCAAGGGAAGGAACCCAGAGTTCCTGACCTACAGGCCATCGCTCTTGGAAGCAGTAAAGAAAAGAATAGCTAAGTTTTCACAATGTCTCCTCTAAGTAGAAAGAAAAGTGTCTGAGTCTTAAGCCATCAGGGGACCCTTAGTAGGTCAGGTCAGCCTGAATTTGAAGAAAGAATCTGGAAAATCATGAAGAAAGAATCTGGATTTCAAGGCAATCCAGAGAACCTTAGTACCTTGGTAAGGTTAAGGCCATGGATCTTTTGAATGAGGGATTAGGCCTTCTCTAGAAACCTGGTCTAAGGTGGAAAATAGTTATGTAAAAGGTGATATAGTTCTAATGCAAAGAGCCAGAAGAGCTTTCCTTCTGATTTTTGGGTGAGGAAGACACAAGGCTGTGGAAAGTGGTTGCTGAGAGTTCTCCCCAACTGCCACAAATACGACACCTATCTCCTGAATGTTGGGCACTACCAGTCATCAGAAAGTTGCTATATACAAATTAGGATAAGAGCAAAGAACTCTTGGGGCACCTGGGTGGTTCAGATCGTTAAATGTCTGCCTTTGGCTCAGGTCAATGATCCCAGGGTCCTGGGATTGAGCCCCGAGTCAGGCTCCCTGTTCAGCGGAGAGCCTGCTTCTCCCTCTCCCTCCCATTCTGCCTGCTTGAGCTTTCTCACTCTCTCTGTCAACTAAATAAATAAAATCTTAAAAAAAAAAAAAAAAAGAGCAAAGGACACTTCAACTCAAAAAAAGAAAGCACAATGTCCACACCAAAGAAATTATATTGGAAGTTAGGGGACAGACCTGAATGAGTGCCTCTGATGTACCTTGCACTGTCCATTTCACACAAGATGGTTTGGCGCTATCATGACTCAGGTCTTTGGGGACAGGAAGATGCACTGTCATTGAATGTAGCTTCTGTAATTGAAGTGCTTGTCATTATAGATTTAAGCGTTATTGATTTTTTTTCATCCTTTCATAATTTTGATGATTCTCTTTCTTCTGTTGTATGATTCTAGAGGTCAGTGTAATCAGCATAATGAAGAAATAAAATAATAGGAATTCCAGGAAACAATATTTCATGAATGAAAGTGGACTTTGTAAGAATAATAATCATAACAACAATGGCAACATACAAAACTACCCATGCCATAAGTGCATTTTTAAAAACTTTAACTACCCATACATCTATCTATCTGCAGATAAACACAAAGCCTGGAAGGAAATACTCAGAGACACTAATTGAATTCCAGTGACTCTCGGCTCTATCATATCCTCTCTTTATGTAATATTTTAGAATGCCTATTAATCTTGAAATGCCAGTTGTAGGTAATATGTCTTGCCTATACAAATAATCTTTTAAAAATCAGTGTATACCCTACCTATGAGGTAAGGAGTTTATAGTTTTAATTGTACTTAAACATATAAACTTTTATGTTACAATTACACTAGAAAATAACAGTGTCTCCAGAAATTCCTAAAACAGCTCCTAAGGGATGGTTGTCACCTCTAAATATCATTGTGGTTTTTTGAAAGCTATCCATAGAGTGAGATGATGATTTCCTTTTTTGTAGAAAAATAGTTGCCTTCATAAATTCATGTCTATGGATTTTATAACCAGAAACTTAGCGTTGGGGGTCCCTGTCATGTGATCATAGTTGTTCATTACAAGGGGAAGGGAAATTCTCCAAGAACATAACTTACCTCAAATGAATAAGCTTTCCCAATCCCATCTCCTGCTCCAGTGATCACTGCAAAAAGCAGAAATGCTTTTAAAGGACACAATTAATCTTTAAAGTGCTCTTTGTCCCACCAGCTACGTGTTTTTGCAGGCTTCCTGCCTGGGACCTGCTATACAGTCCCCTACTCCACTCAACCCTGGAGCTTCCAGCCCTGACGCCCCTCATTCAATGTTCCAAAAGAAACACTTTTTGGAGGGGTTGGTAAGGCTGGAGAGGATAGCCTCCAAAACAAAACAAAGAACCTCAGCCAGGGACATTTCATTCAGACCCCAAACAGTGTACCCTATTATCTCTCAACCCACACTCCCAACTGTCACAGTAAGGACATTTCAAGATTCTTCCAAAAGTCGAGTGTTTCACTCTTTCCATCCCACCCCCACAGGACAGCAGCACTCAAAGTCCATGAAAGATAAGGAACTTAACAAAGAGGAAAACTCAGAAATGCAAAAAAGGGATACAATGAAATAAAGGGACCCGAAGAATCTGCAGTCAGGGTCTCTATTGATTAACATGTAAAAATCAGATTGACTTAGTTCTTTTATATCCAACGTTAACGCACATATTTTATGACTGAGCTCCAAGGTAAACCACATTCGAGCAAATGTCACAATTTGAAATTATGCTACAGTTCAGCATTTACGCATCTGCAATTTACCTTTGCACAACGATCAGAGCGTACACTTTCCAAGTGTGAATAGAACATACATTTAGCTTATTGAGAAAAAGAGCCAAGCTGTGCAAGCTTCCAGAAACACATTAGCAGAACGTTCTCATTATCTTTTTTTTTAAGATTTTATTTATTTACTTATTTACTTATTAGAGAGAGAAAAAGAGTGTGAGCAGGGGGTGGGGGGCAGAGGGAGAGGGACAAGCAGCCTCCACACTGAGCATGGACCCCGACTTGCTCATTGATCTCACGACCCCAATATCATGACCTGAGCTGAAATCAAGTCAGATGCTTAACCAAATGAGCCACTTAACTGCCCCAGGACACTCTCATTTTCATAACTGCTGATAGTTTTATTTGTTCACTTGCTTATTTGTTTTTCCTCCTAGGTGAATCCGTGCATATTACCTTGGTCCTCCCAGTGCTGTGCTCAGGGTCATCTTCTGCCTCACTTTCCCCTCCCTTATGGGAATCTTCCAACTCACCCAGTATAGGGTCTGTACTATAGACAAGGTAATAACATCAGTAAATGGCTGGTTTTTATTGAGTGCTTACTCTTGGCCATGTACTGTTTCAAGTGTTTTAGATGCATTATCTCATTTAATACTCAAAACAAGTTCATAAAGCAGGGACCATTGTTTTCCCCAGTTTATAGAGGAAAAAGCAGAGGGAGAGAAAAGTTAGTAACCCAATCAAGGTCACATTGCTAAGAATGATGACAACAGGGTTTGAAACCCAGCTATCTGATTTTGGGAGCTGCAATTCTAGGAAGATGCACCAATGACATAATTTCCTAATCAACTACAGAGTTCAGAGGAGTTAAACACTTTAGTCTTTAGTAACTGGATTTTCTTCTGGCTCTCCACCAGAAATAATATGCTCTCCCAGAGATCTACCTAGGCTCAAAGACATCTTAATCTTGCTAGTGATAATTCTATTCAATATTGACTCAAAGAATAAGTTAAGATTACATTTGGGGGGTCTTTTTTTTTAAGATTTTTGTTTATTTGACAGGTTTATTTGCCACAGTGAGAGAGGAAACATAAGCAGGGGGAGTGGGAGAGGGAGAAGCAGGCTTCCTGCTGAGCAGGGAGCCTGATGAGGGGCTCGATCCCAGAACCCTGGGATCATGACCTGAGCTGAAGGCAGCCTCCTAACGACTGAGCCACTCAGGTGCCCCAAGATTACATTTTATTAAATGGGAGCCAAGGAGATTTAAGAACAACCCCACCCCCAGCCAAGTGTGTGAGCATTTGGATCTGTGTGGGGCAGGATATTTGGATCCAGAATGCTGAAGTTCAAGCTATTTAGCAAGTTTTCTGGAGATACAGCCCCAAGAGTGAAGGCGGGTTTGCAGACACACACACACACTCTCTTCAAATGTAACATGCAACAGTTAAAAACCCATTTTTCATTCCAAACAGCTTTCACATGGCAATTTTTTTTTAATATCTGCTACTAAGGTTGTACAGTTGCTGGCTTTAGCAACTAAAGATACAGCATGCCCAGATAAATTTAAATTTCAAGAAAACAACAAATACTTTTTTAGTATAAGTATGTCCTGTATAATATTTGGGAAGTCATATACTAAGAAAATCATTCCTTCTTTATCTAAAATTCTAATTTAACTCTGTAACCTATACTTTATCTGGAAGCCCTATAAGGTTGTTTATAATCTCTCCTATTTAGCCTGGCATGGTACTCTTAAAGCTGTTTAAATTCTTTGTGTTTTTTGTGGGTTTTTTTTTTTAATTTGACAGAGAGAAATCACAACTAGGCAGAGAGGCAGGAGGAAGCAGGCTCCCCGCGGAGCAGAGAGCCCAATGCAGGGCTCGATCTCAGGACCCTGATTACTGAGATCATGACCTGAGCCGAACGCAGAGGCCCTAACCCACTGAGCCACCCAGGCGCCCTGTAGGTTTTTTTTTTAAGTCACTGTCTTTCTTGGATTTCTTCATGTAACCTTCACATGTCATTCAAAGAGATGCTAAAACCATAGCCTCATATTTTTCACCTTAAACCCAGTCATCAGGCTGACATTCTGTGTGGTAGTTCCAGAAGATAAATCCCTTTGGTAAGCAGTGATTAATCTACCTGGGACACAAACCAGACCCAAATTCCATATCTAATAACCATCTTGAACATTTCTTCCTATAGGGACATTTGTTACCTTGATTTTGTAATACCCTCACTTCATGAAAGGGCTTGGAGAAATTTTTTTTTAAATTGAAGTAAAATTCTTTGTATTTCTGAATTTTGATTCATCCTTCCACAAAATGGCAGTACTCTGAGCCTTCAAAAATCTGGAGAAAAGAATGCAGAAATTTCTGCAGTACATATTGTTTGTGTCACCAGAAATTCCAAAAAGGAGAGAACCCAACTAATAAGTAAAGAGGACAAGCACAGAGGCAAGAATTGGGGGGCATTCTTCCAGTTAATTCTTCTCATGCCCCACAGCTTGTCTTTTAGACAATTTCCAGTTTTGCTCATACTTGCCAGGCACCTAAATAAAAGTCACTCAAAGGAATTACATCTTTGCTCTCAAAAGGGGAAAAAACGCAATTTATCTTTTGAGATATGTATCATAATGAGACATACCAAGAAACAAGAGATGGAAAGCTGTCTTTACCTGCCCATTGTCCCATTGACTTCAAGAAAGACTTCGGCAAAACTTTCCAGAAGTACCGGAGAATATATCTGGAGAATCTCACCCACTTCACCAGGTACACCAGGCACACCAGCAGTCCTACAAAAATGAAGAACTGTTCCAGAGCCACCCCCATGACTGCACTAGACCAGTTTCAGACCTGGTCTGGCCCGTCCATAGACCTCCGAGGGAGTGGCTATTCCGGACACAAGTCAGTCACCCTTTGGAGTCACCTGCTGCATTCCACTGTGTAGAGACATTTAGATTAGAGTAACTTCTTTACACAATCCTCCAATTCACAGGCTTTGGAAGAAAGTATTCTTCCTAATATTTTTACAGCACCATTAGCCTTTTGTGACCCTGGGGGAGCTGGTGAAGAAATAAAAGGAGGACATGAAGAAAGATAAAGCCTGGACAAAGAAAAATTGTCTACACTGGGTTCTCTCCCTAAATTTGGAAGCTAAAAAGGATGCTGAGAAGGATGCAAAATCCTGTAAGTCCTGCATTTATTTATTGAACAAATATTTATTGACTCTCTACCAGGTAGCAGTGTTGCTCAAGGCTTTGGGAACACATAATATTAAACAAGACCATATCATTGCCATGGGGGAGCTGAGATTCTAGTAGGGGAGATAGACAATAGGCCGCTAAATAAGATAATGTCAGATATCAGTGCCATGAAAAAGTGCTGTTCAAGGGGCTAGTGGACAATTACTTTAAAGAGTGTGTTCAGGAAGGGATTCTATGAAGAAGAGGCATTTTGAGCTGAAATTTGAATTAAGAGAAGGAGCTGGCCTTGCAAAGATGAGCTTCTCCATCTAGGCAGAAGGAACAGCTAGCTCAAATGCCCTGAGAGAGACCCATGTAATTGAGGAATAAATAGCACGACATAGCAGAAGGAACCGTCTGTAGAGAACGGTCAAGTAAGATAGAGGCATGGGAGGAGCCAGAGCTTCATGGTGAAGAGTTTGGACTTTAGTCTATAAGCAACAGGAAGCCACTGCAGAGGCTTAGACCGTAGAGTCATATAACCTGAATCCTGCTTTTAGAAGATCACTGTGGATGGTAAGAAAAGATGACCTTTTTGTGGTGGGAATGAAGGGTGGGCATGACCACCAAAGCAGGTGGAGTGAGGAGATAGTGGCAGTCATCTAAGAAGATTATCCCAAAGCTCAGCCCTTTGCCCTCTTCTTTTTCCTATCCACACTCACTCATTTGGTGGCATTATCCAATTGCTTGACTTCAAGGACTCTCTGTATGCTGAGGACCTACAAACGTATAATTTCAACCGTCACCCAGACAGGGTCATCCAGACTTGCATATCCAACTGCCCACTTGACACCTCCATTTGAATGCCTAATACGCACCTTAAATTTAGTATGTATAAAACTGGCTTCTGATACTATCTCTAAATGTCAAAACCTGCTCTTCTTACAGACTTTCCTATCTCAGGGAATAGCAGCTCTAATCTTCCAGTTGTTTAGGTTAGAAATCTTGGACATATCCGTGGCTCCTCTCTCTTTTTCACATACTGCAACCAGTCTGTCTCCTATTGACAGATGACTGGATTTATTTTCAGTTTTAGATTTTATGCTGACCAACCCTGCTATGAATATTTTTGTATTTCTACTTCGTCATACATATACAAGTTCCTCTCTTTCTCTCTCTCTCTTTCTGCCTCTGTCTGTCACATACACACACACACACACACACACACACACACACACAATTGTTGGGTCCTACATGTTATACAACTTCAGTTCTACTCGTGTTTCAGCCAAGTCCACCCAGAAGACAACAAAGCACACAGCAGTTGGACAGGCACTATTAAGTACAAAAATGATTAACTATTTATAGGAAGTTAGCTACTAACAGACCATAAAAAAGAACTCAAAAGACCCTAGGGTTGAAGGAGGGTATCTAAGGAACAAACAAATGTGGATCCAAGACTGGGTTTCAGACCTCACTAGAGAGTGTGGGATTGCAGCCAACTGGTGGTGAAGAGGTTCTCTGGGTTGCCTGAGTTAGGAGGATAAGACAGATTAGCAGGGAATTGCTGTCTGGGGCAGGAAACCCCCACTGGGATGCTGACAAACCTGAGGTGAATTCTACTGGGAGTCAATTTGGAGAGAATTGACATTTTTGCAATACTGAGTCTTTATTTTATTTTTTTAAAATATTTTATTTATTTATTTTGACAGACAGAGATCACAAGTAGGCAGAGAGGCAGGCAGAGAGAGAGGTGGAAGCAGTCTCCCCGCTGAGCAGAGAGCCCAATGCGGGGCTCAATCCCAGGGCCCTGGGATCATGACCTGAGCCGAAGGAAGGTCTTTAACCCACTGAGGCTTTAACCCACTGAGCCACCCAGGTGCCCCAATATTGAGTCTTTAAACTATAAAGGCTTTAACCCACTGAGCCACCCAGGCGCCCCAATATTGAGTCTTTAAACTATAAACCTGGTCTACGTCTTCTTTTAGGTCTTCTTCATCTCTTTCCTCATTTCTCTCAATACATTTTTATAATTTCTCCTAAAATGTTTGTGCTTGTAAAAGTTTATATTAAGAAAAATATCAAAAACGTTCAAAAATTGGAGACTAAGTCGATGAACTTCCATTTACCCATATGTTATAGATAACCATAACATTATATAAGTAACTACAACATATTAAATAAATGCCCTTTATTTGGTGTGCTTTGTGTACTGGAAATTAACTATCCTTTCACTGCCCATTGTTACTTTGCATATACCCACTTTTCTTACCCTCCCCACCCCATAACAGCAAGGACTCTTTAAAAGAATAACATAAAAAACAGTGCTATTATTATAACCGAACCATTAATAGTAATTCTCTAATGCTATCAAAATTCAATCAATCCTTAAGCATCTCTGATTGTTCGTACATATTTTTAAGCTTTGTTTGTTTGTTAGAGAGAGAGGAGTATGAGCAGAGGAGGAGCAGAGGGAGAGGAAAGAATGTTAAGCAGGCTCTATGCTCAGCCTGACATGGGGATCTGTCTCACAACCCTGAGATCATGACCTGAGCTGAAATCAAGTGCTGGACACTTAACCAAATGAGCCACCCAGATGCCCCGTTCATACATATTTTTAAGTTGACTTTTGAATCAGGATTTTTCTTAAAGGCCTGCACATTGTATTAAGTTGATGTGTCTCTTAAAGTTTCCCTCTCTCTTTTAAAACAATTATTTTACTAGCATTTATTTGTTAAAGAAATTAAGTTGTTTACTGTTGGGTCAGTGGCTCCGGGAATGCAGGAGGAACAATAGAAATGACCGCCAGGGCTGCCATCTTCCAGCGCCCCCCCACCCAACCCTTGACTCTCCCACCAAAAGGATGTATGCCCAGGTCACATCTCCATAGGTAACCCAATACCTATGCAGGAAACAGAAGTATCAGGACCCCCCACCCCATACCCTCTGATCACCAAATACCCTACCATATATGGATGTGGGCCCATGCCCTACCTTGGCCCAATAAAAGACCCCCACTGACTCCCTCTCAGTGCGACTTCCCCTACTCCCCTTTCTGGAGTAGAGGAACCTCATCCCAGGGTGCCCACCTCCTCCTGGCGCGATTTTCCTGGCTCCCCTTCTGAGCCCTGGAACTTCGCCGGAGATGCCTTTAATAAATCTTGCTTTGTGCCCACCTTGCCTGGTGTTGTGTTTACCTCGCCTGCGAAACTTTACATTTACCTTATAGAGTGTCCCATATTTTGAATTCTACTGATTACATCGCCATGGTGTCACTCAAAATGTTCTTCTATCTCCTTTATTTCTTCTAAACCATTAGATCTAAAGCAAGGGCAGCAAACTTTTTCCTTAAGGAGCCAGATAGTAAAGATTTTAGGCTTAGTGGGCCCTATGGTCTCTGTTGCAAAGACCCTGACCATTGTAATGCAAAAGCAGTCACAGGTACTTAGTCTTAAATACAAAAGAATAGATGGGCCTCAAGGGAATTATGCTAAATGAAATAAGTTAGACAAAAAAAGACAAATACTGTAAGATCTCTCTTCTATGTGGAATATAAATATATATATTTATAACCCCCCAGAAGTGGGGGTTGAGGGATAGGAGAAAGAGGTAAAATGTTTTTGTTTTTGTTTAGTTTAAGTAAATTAAATCTTTTTTAAAAGAAAGTAAAAAAGGCGTGAGGAGAGAGATGTGCAAAAGTGCCAGGAATTATGTGTGATTAAAATGTTCCCATCTTCTACAAACATAGTGATCTGAAGGGACACCTGCACCCCAATATTCATAGCAGCAATGTCCACAATAGCCAAACTGTGGAAAGAGCCAAGATGTCTGACAGATGAATAGATAAAAAAGATGTGGTGTATATATACAATGGAATACTACTAGCCATCAGAAAGATGAATACCTACCATTTACATCGACATGGGTGGAACTGGAGGGTATCATCCTGTGTGAAATACATTGGCTAATTGAATTTAAATTTAAAAAAATGTTCCCATCTTCTCCAGCCTTCAGAAGTTATTAATGCCCAAATAACAATAGTCTAAGTTCTCTTTTTTACTGCCCTCAAGGAGTTCAGTATTTCATTAGGTTTCCTCCCTCAAGTAATTCTTGGGAATTCCTAAAAAAAACCATTCCCCAAGTTCTCCCCATCTATCCAGGCAATTTTATATTCTCTGGCTCTGGAACAATACTTCTCTTCTGCTGGTCACTCTGCCATCTTGTTGCTTCTCTAACCTGTTGTATTTCTGCTCCTTCACAAAGGCAAATAAAAATAATTAGTTATAAAACAACTTACATCTACATTTAGGGGGAAAAATTAATGTTGCAGGTCAATAATTTTTATCCCAAAACAGACCATATAAGATCTCAGTCTGAAAACAAACAAACAAACAAACAAAAAAATCTCAGTCTGAAGTATTTGCATAGATACATGTATATATATACACATATATATGAATAAAATGGGAACCAGAGAGTGATAGATGCATTAGCGTTACCAAAAGGTTCATTATTAAAATACAGTCTGCACTCTAAAAATATTTCAAAGTGACAGTTCATTGTAACCCTCCAAAGGACAGTTTTCTAGCTCAAAAAAATTTAGGATTTTGTGTCCACCAGCTATAGAGGAGTCAATGTAAACTTTGTGAATCAAAGAAAAATTCTGTAACAAGCG